TATGATAACAAAATGTCAATAAATGCAAATATGTTCATGAAATAAGAACAAAGTTAATCAGTTCATCAAATCAAAGTTATTTCAGTTCAGGTGTGTAACAGGTAGTCTTGTAGGCATTCTGGTCGTTTTACAACTCGTCTGCTCCTGGTTGTAGTTACTGGTTGTTGCTGATCAGGTGGTTCTGTTTTAAAGTGTTGTGGTGTATTAACTGTGTTCTCTGTAGTTGTAGGTTTTGTTGTACTGTTGTCTTMAGGTGCTGGTTGGTGAAGTTCATCTGGTAGAACTGGTAGAGWATGGACATGCGCATTAGATGATGTTACTACAGGTTTGCCATCTTCAGTCCTTATCTCGTATGACCGTATGTCTACTTGATCTTGTCTACATAGGAGCCTAAAGGATATTATATAGGACCCTTAAGGATATTGCTCAACTGATCCTCTGGATATCATGTACTAACAAAGCATCATAAGAAGTCACATATATATTTAAAATGCAAAATTTATTGCATTATTTGGTCTGTTTACAATTTAATATCAGAAATTGTAACAATAAAAAGTNGAAGTCGAAAGAATTTACCGTATTTACCCATGTATAAGCCGCTCTCCTAGATAAGCCGCACCCCGAGTTTTAGGAACGTTTTTGAGGAAAAAAAGATGGAAAATAAACTTTTCTCTTTTTGATCGCCACTTGCGAACACAGCTTTCTTTGATTTTAAAGTGCTATTCCACTGGTCGATTTCCGTGATCCATGCATTTCATATGCAATTAAATAAGTTTATTAAACGTGCGGTGTATGATGATCTTACTCTCAGCAAAGATGATATTCCAGGTTCTTCACTTCTTAATCGTAAACCTGAGGAATGCTGAACTGATTTTCTGGTTGAAGTGCTGAGGAGATAATGCGAAAGGACTCAAAACAAAAGCACAATTTATATGTGAAAAGGTACAGTTTTATTGTCAATCGTCGTACTGATGTTAAGCATTGATTTTTACTTGAATAACTCGACTTTTTCTTGTTTTGAATAGAGTTAAGGAATACATAAGAACTGGAAGAGACAAAAACCTCGTGGATCCAGATCCACACATGCTTTACACAAGAAGAAAAGAAAGAGAGCAACAACTAGCCGACGTGACGAACATCATACCGCCGACTGCCAAAGAGTGTGTAAAGTTCCCTGATAACAGCAAAGCGTGGGGCCATATGAATGACCATATCAAGAAATCAGGCCATATAGACAATCATTCTATACCAACTGGCTTGAAGAAAGAGAAAACATTTCTAGAAGATGAATATCTTGAAGAGATCTCGTGTTTACACTACCAAAGGTACTTTTACTTGAAATGTAAATGCTGTCACAGCTTCAGAAAGAATGGGCCTCCRCATGAATTGAAACTTGCTCTTTGTGTTATATCTGGGAGCATAGAAAGTGGTAAATGTTCATGTGTGGCTGGGCAATCAGGTTACTGTAATCACTTATTGGCCCTCATGTTAAAACTGTGTAAGTTTACAGTGCTTGCATGTGATTCAACCGACGATATAAGCCACAAGGCTGACCAGCAAGYGGCCTTGGCCTGTACTTCGACACTCCAGCAATGGCATAGAAAAGGAGGTGTAAAAAATATAGCTCCAGAGCCAGTAATGGAAATGTATATGTCTAAGACTAAACTGGATGAAGAAAGAAGGAGAGCAGGTGTGATCTCTCTTCTATATGAAGCCAGAAAAAAGACAACGAACAATAAAGATGCTGAAAACACCATGAAAAAAGAAMTTCAAGAAATTCAATCAAACATGGGGTTTGCTCAAATGCTATTGGGCGAACAAGAAACTCCGCAAAAAGTTGAYACAAAATATGGTAAATGCCAAGTTGGTTCCTACCTATCATATCAAGTTGGATTCACAGAAGCTAACTTTGAGGCCACAGCGGACATCAATAGAATAACAAGACTGCTTGTTTCTAATACTGAGCAAGAACTCAGTTATCCTCGATTTCCATTGAAAGGCTCTACTGATTGTAATAGTGAAATGGAAATTCCTGATAATTTATCAAATATGGAACTGTCAGTCATAAGTAAACTTGATGTGGATGAAAATCAGATTAATAACATTGAATTACAAACAAGAAAACAGTCCATCTGTGACAACTGGAAAACTGAACGAAAAATATCGTTTCACTGCATCAAATGTCCATTTAATATCGAGACGGCAAAGGAACCATGACACCTTTGCAGACACTCTTCTGAATCCAAAGGAATTCACATCAGCAGCTACAGATCATGGAAGAAAGTATGAATCTGTTRCTTTACAACACTATCATAAATTCATGCTTAATAGAAAAACACCAGTTCAGGTTTTGCCCTGTGTATTTGTTGTCGACAAAGAATGTCCCATTCTCGGTGCAACACCAGATGCTAGAGTGGTAGACCTTGGTTGTACTGACCATTATGGAATCGCTGAGGTGAAATGCCCAAAGTCAAAGTTTCACGTTGCCACTTTGGAAGCATCCAAGGATCCTGCTTTCTACATGGAAAGTATTGATGATAAAAAGTGCTGTCTAAAGAAAACAGATAAATACTATGCACAAGTTCAAGGACAGATGGGGATGACAGGGGCACAATGGTGTGATTTTATTGTTTATACCCAGTTAGGTTTATATGTTCAAAGAATTCCTTTTGATTCTGATTTTTGGTTTGATTTGAAAGGTAAACTCATTTCTTATTATTTTACATATTTTATTAAACATGCAGCTCTTGAACTGCAAAAGCAAGTTTCAGATTCAGCATAAGATGTATCTTCACAATAATATTGTGATGAATAATATCAATGAAGGACATTTATATCTATTTATACAAATGAACACATGTTGACATCTAGCCCTGGACATTGTAAATTATACATGTAATTAAATGCATAAAGAATTTTGATATACTTTAGGTAACAATGATAGGTTGCTGTGTTTATTTGCATCCATATCAGTACACATCTTTTAGTAGTTTTAATATACTGTATATTGGACTTTTAAAAATATTTTTCATATTATTACAAATGTATAAAGATATCATTGTACTGAATTCAAACAATTGTTGRTTGTTAATCCCATGAAATAAAATCTATATGCTATTGAGTCCAAATTATAAGATGTCATACGTATATATGAAATCATGTCACATATAGCTCATTATGAGTCTTATGTTAGTGCACTAAGAGCTAGAGTGGTTTCCGTCATTGTATGAAATACATTAATTTTATCACAAAAACATTCAAATTTGATATTCGCTGATATGATTTGAATATTGAAAACATTCTTTATTTCAATGATTTAKGAAAACCACTTTAACAATACATTGCAGGACCTGTCAAGATTTTCATTTCTGCATGATAAATCGCTGTATAAATTCATATTGATATAATATTAGGCTGAGTATTGCACAAAATTGCACAAACACTCCACATCTGATTTACTAGACCAAACGGATGGA